CTTGAGCTGAGTGGTGTCTCTCCCAATGGACTTCATCCGAGGTGAGAGTTTCTTTTTTCCTGCTAAACTCGAAGGTTGGGTAAGATTTTGCTCAATGGGTTTCAATACGATATTTTTGGAAAAAGGGAGCAGTTTTCCTTTAAAAACTAAGTCGGATTCTTGCAAGATGCGACCGTTATTGAGCGTAATCGTATAATCAGAGGATTCGATGATGTTTTTCTGAAAAGTTGGAACAGGGTTCCCCAATTTTCCTGCTAGCCATCCTTGTTTAAAATTTACTTCCAGAAACTAACTTCTTTGAAGTTTCGCCGGTTTTGCCGGGTCTTGACAGGTCAGGCGGGGGAGTAACCGAGTGGGTTAGGGCTAATGTTAGATTGTCCTCTGAGTCTGTCTGAGCTTCCGCAGCATCCATGTAGCCGTCAGCACCCATGTAGCCGTTTTCTGCCCCGTCGTGAATTTCCTAATTCCTGGCTTGTTGGTCCGGTAAGATAAACTTTACTTTATCTAATCGGTTATCGAAGTATATCAATTTTTTAATCTGGCGTTTGCAGTTCTATAAAAATGTTTCTCGAGGGGGTGCATTCTATCGAAGGTTGTTTTCTGTTTTCTAATTTCGAGGTTCCAAATAATTTTCTCGATCTAGGAAATTACAGAAGGTTTTGGTGACTCAAATGACATGGCTAATCATTAAGATTTTACAGTATATACAAGTTTATCTACAAGTCCGTTAGATCTATGATCTCCAACTGTATAGCAGGTGATTTTGATGTTGAATTTTTAACAAAAGCCTTTCAAACCGTGAGATGAAAAAAGAACCCATGGCCTATTCTAATCTTTCTTGGAAAACCATGATGATGGCAGTAATCAGTTTTAAAAGGAAGTAACGGAAGTTGAGGTTGGGTTATTGACTAAATTCGCAGAGAGAATTTTTGTGAAACAATCAATGCAAAAAAGGACAAATTTTTTGTTCCACAAAAAGCGTCCAATGGACCTGCGTAGACCGAATTTAGTCCTAAATCGCGTAAAATAACGTGGGACGTTTTGTCGTGTGTTCCGTTCCGAGTAAAACTTTGAGGCTCTTACCGACTTCCAGGCACTGATTACAAGACTCCCCAAGATGATACCTTTCCCGGAAGATGTGTGGCAACCAAATGTATTCTGCTAAAAGCTTCATTCCAAATTGGCCCGGATGAATTTCATTTAATTGTGAGCTGAATAATCCCCGAATAGCTGCTGGCACTTCCAGCTTAGTGTCCTTGAAAAGGACTTCGTGTTTCACATCAAGGTCTCTTTTGTAGTTTTTCAAGTAGATTCCCTGAATCACTACTGGTCGTCCAATTCTGATCGTGATGAGTTTGCCCCAGATAATCTTGTCGTCTTTTGTCATGATCGTTAAGAGTTTCTTTGAACAGTGTTTTCTCTGGAATTATAGGGGAGTAGGGTAATATGAGGTCTGTTTTATATCTATTGGGCCGGCAAATTGATTGAGATTAACTATCTCGGGGACTTCTTTTTCCTTAGATCTTCGTTTTGCATAATGAAATGTATAAGAACCTTGTCAGTAAAAATAATGCTTCTAAAGTTGGCATTAGAGTGGACTGGGGGTAAACAGTTCAGAGAACAATTTTCTGCTCTGATATTTGAGTTATCACAAACTTTAATTGCTTGAACAAAACAAGAAATAATAGCACCAAAAATTTTAGAATTCAATAAAACTATTGAAAAAATTTTAAAATCTCGACTAAAAAAATTGCTTGAATTTTCAACTCGCGACGGGATTTTTTAAAATAACAATTGGATTTGATTTAACAGCGAACAAAGGTCTATCTACAAAATTTGTATTTAAACATTTCAACTGGTCTCCACTAGATAAGATATTCCAAAAATTCTTCGTCGTAGAGTGAGGAGGGTAAGGTTTAGTTTTTGCCAGACGGTAATCTAGATAAGAGGTCAGTAAGACCCATATTTTCTCTGGAAGATGTGAGATTTTAAAATTAAAAGGGTAAAAATCTGTTTAGCCGCCGGTTTGTAGCTATATTTTGCTGAAATGGCTGAAACTAGGGCTATATGGTCTGGCTCAATTTCGAAATCCGAGCCGAAAAGTAATTTCTTAACTACTCTGCAGCCCATGCTACGCCCAATAGTTCTAAGTCAATGTGGAATACTTCATTTCTTGATTTTTTAAGAATTTTGAAGCGAATGCGATTGCTTTCCACTGTCCACCTTGAAAATGTTCTTATGTCGCACTCAGTCCACTATGAGAACAACAAAGTGGCTGCTTCCTGTGATATATACTTTTTCTGATAGCAGTTTTTCAGAAGCTATCTAGTGTCTAGTATCCCATTTGTAAATTGACTTCTTGTTTAATAGGGGACGAAGGGGGGAGCTCAAAGAAGAAAAATTCGAAGCCATCTTTCACATACTGGTTTATTCAGCCGGAGAACATTCATAACTTCGAGATAATTTTGGGGTCTGGAAGGTTTTCGATAGCGTCCGCCTTGCCGACAAACGAAAGTACTCCGTCTTCAGAGATTTTAAAACCTAATCCTCATATTTCTTTCTGAAAGAATGGGCATTTTTTTCTTTTCACCGCCATGATGTTCTTGTTTAGGATTGTCAGAAAGCTACTTACAATTGATTAATGTTCATTTCAAAGTCCTTTCGAAGCAACCACAATGTCGTCTATGTAGCAAAACGTACACAGTATGTTCTTTAGATGTGAGTTCATGACGCGTTGAAATTCATTAGGCATGTCGCCCAAACCGTAAGAACCGTTTGAAAGTTGATACACTACAGTTGTTTCACAACCCAAAGTGTTGAAGTTACACTGTCCGCTTGCATTTTTGCAAATTTCAAGTTGACTATACGCATTTTTCAATTCCAAATTGCTAAACCAGACCTGCCCACTGGAAGTTTGCGAAAGTTGAATAGCAACATTGTGTATCATTTCATGAATGTTGGGTATCTGAGATTATTTTTGAAAGTCTGATCGTTTAGTAATTTAGAATCAGACCTGCCCAGTAGGAGTTTCCGAAAGTTGAATAGCAACATTGCCTATCATTTCATGAATGTTGGTTATCTAATGTTATTTTAAAAATTCTGATGGTTTGTAGTTTAATGCCAATTTGATCCAGCCAATTTTCTTTTTTGTTAAAAAAAATTGGACTATTGAAACAATCCTCGTCGCATTTCTCTAATTTTACAACGTGTCCTTCGGTCTCCATTCTTCTTAAGTCTTCACTTACGCCCAGAGTAGATGCATAGGAAATCTTCTTTATTTTGCCTGAACTGGTTTAAACGGAGAATCGATATGTGTTAAATTGCGATCGTTCCGACTTTTTTCAACTCTCGTAAGTTATTCTTTAAAGTTGTAGAAAATTTGTTCAGTTGAAAAGGAAAGTTTCAACTTACTCTTCATTGGTGGCCGGCTGAGTGAACATATTGGATTGGGACACTTCTTCTGTGTGTCCTCCAGTAATGAAAAATGGCGTCTCTTCACAAATCCAACTATTGAATTGCGTTGATTATTATTTTGCCCAGGATGTTGATCGTATGGTCTGTGAAACGGCAGGATAAGTATCTGATCCTCTTCGCCACTGCGTAAAATTTCAGGTTGGGATATCTGAGTTTAAGTTCGTGTAAGTCAGTTTGTTTTATAAAACTAACTGGGCTCGCCGAATCGAATAATCATTTTTACAATCATCTCCCATCCCAATCCTACGTTCAGGAGTTTTCTAGTTTCCAGTCCGTTCTCGTCGATATAGTTCTAACGCTCCAAACCGAAACATTGTCATCTTCTCTCGGTCCGTTCCCGTTCCAAGTATTTATCACTCCGCACATTTCTTGATTATCGCTCCAGGATTTCTCCGGCGGTACACTATTCGCAATATTTACATGATTATCACTTACAATATTTACAGATGGTAGTTTGTTGCGAGATTTACACAGTTTGGCGAAATTTCTTCTGTAAGTTTTACAAAAGATACGCTGCGCTGGACATACATTCAAGTGACCCTTTGTTAATGCGTTGCCGCACTTCATGCATGAATTACTCCGTTCTATAACGCGACTCAGTTCTTTCTTTATCTGGTTCTGTACATTGAACGATTCAAAATTCGGCCCATCGGTCAAAGATTTCGTCATAAGCGTCAATTTCTGATAATTAAAATTGCTTTTTCCGTCGATTAGAGTCAGACTTACAGCTTCTGAGGGGCTGATTGTAGCTGATAGGAGTTTCCCTTGGGTTTCGCAATCCTTCATATTGCATATAAAGACGTCCCAAATCCATTCCGCTTCATTGGTCTCCCTAATGTTTCATGTACTAGCTAGGTCTGTCAGCGCGCCCCAAAATTGTTTAATTGCCTAACGACCTTTTTGTTTGCGGTTTAATTTATTGTGCCTCTCGAAAGTTGTGTTAGAAGGTTTTTTAAAGGCAACGTCCAGAAGATTCCAGAATTCAGTAAAAAGTATGGCTGAAACTTTCACCCGAGGGTTTTTCGGGCAAAGATTTTTTTCTTGCTGCCGAGTGCTAAAAATAGGATAGAGCATCAGCCTCTGCTCGTCTCATACCATAAAATTTTTTCTTTTCTTCGTTGATCCGCTTTTCTTCGGCGGCTTCGTATAATTTTATCGCGTTTTTGTTCGTCGTTTCTCTATTGACTCTATTGATATCCAGTTCACTTTCTGTTGCTTGTTTCAGAATTTGAATTTAAGTTTCCGGTACATCCGGTCCGTTAAGACTATCGATATCCAGATTCTCTTTAGCAATTATCGCTAATTGAAAATGGATCGTGGAATGTGGGGCTCCATGGTATGGTTTGGCAGAATGAAAGGTCTCCACGCAAGTTCGATTCATGTGACTACGCCATACTAAAAAGTTCTAAAAGACTTGTTAGTTATGTACAGAGTAAGCGCAATTACTTAAATAAAATGAAAAGATAAAAAATGAAATGTGAATTGAAACGTTTAATCTTAATCAACACAAACTAGCAATGATCTACCGATGGTCGAATTATGCAATGTGTTGATTGGTATCTAATCAATACCGAAGGTCATTTTGACATAACTATAAAAATAAATCACAACAACTGGTAATCGATGAAAACCAACAATCTATTATTGCAGAAGCTGGAAATTTTCATATTAAACTGGTTTAAATTTATTCATTTCAAACAAAAATACTTAATCATGATTAATATGAATTGATATTCGAAATGATGTCTTGAACAACAAGAAGTCGCTTGAATTTGTCCGCATTTTAATATGGTAGTTCTTCTTGCAACCGTCCTAGAAATAAAAGTTGAAAATGTTGTCTGCTTAACTACTAGTCTGCTTGCTGACTGCCCGGGTTGACCAAAAAAGCTCGTCATACAATTTTCATCTATGGCAAAATGCTAATCAAACACTTTTCATGCAATTCCGTAAGTAATTGCATGAAAAGTGTTTGATTAGCATTTTGATTACATGAAAATTACATGAAAGGTCTATGATTACTACTTTTTAGTATAGGGAAATTGTATGACTAGCATTTTTCCATAAGCCAAAAATAATGATTTTTTTACATTTTATTTTCTCAAAATTTATTGGTTGTGTTCGTAACCGAACACAAATGACAAAAACCTTGGTTACTCAAACGTAGTAACCATACATTTGGCCGTCTCGCATTGAAAATGCATTGGAAACAGCCTGCAGATTAATTCTGTCTCACACAAATAATATAACGAAAGTAACGAACTTTTAAATTTTGGCAAAAAATTTCAAAGATGATTATTTCCAAAGTTTCTAAGTTCTTATACCAGACATTGATCAAGGCATAAACAAACATGTCATTCAAAACAAAGAGGAGTTTTAAGCGTTTTTAACAAAAGTTATGAAGAGAAAAGGAAAAAAACACGATATTAGTATATCCAGGACTACGTTATACACACAAAAAAATAAATTTTGCATGCAAATTTTTTTCTTCAAAAAATGTTTGTTTGAGTACGAAAATCAATTTGCAATTGAAAAATAACACAAAAAAATGTTTGGGGCAATTTCAAATATACTTGAAAATTTTTTGTCGCCATCAAAAATGCTAGTCATACATTTTCCACATATGGAAATTGTATGATTAGCATTTTTTTGACAAAAAGTTTTTCTTTCTTATTTGGTACGATACAACGAATTTTATGCCAAAACAAGAGAAAAGTTGTTCGAAAATTCAATGACACCGTTTTAGCAAAATGTATGAGATTTGTATGACTAGTTTTTTTTGATAGTTTTAGTTTATGGAATTGTATGATTAGCTTTTTTGGTCTATGGAGGTCAACCCGGGTGTTTGCTTACGCGATTGTCAACTTCTTGCTGCCACAAAGTAAGCAGCCAGTAAGGTAAGTGAGATTTGGCAGCAGAAATTATAAACTCATCAACGTTTCGTTAAATCATAATGAATAATTTTCATGAAAACCACAGCATAACTTTTCACTTTAACGAACACAGATCTTTTAGCAGCGCATAACAAGCATGAAATGTGAAGTATATACAATTTTCTTTATAATAGCACACCGTAAGAACGAACACATAATAACATAGTAATGTTGCATGCTCATAAAAAAAACAATTAAAAAAACAAGACTGATTGTATCAGGGCAAAGCCCTGAATGTTCCGACCGCCTTTTAATGTTTATGGAGCAGTAATAACATTTAAGAAATTAAATGAAATAAAACAAAAATTGAAATTTTTTTTTTAAATTTGAATTTTTTTAATGAAAATCATCCCCCCACACGCCATATTAAGTACAAAATGATAGATTTTGCTCCTTGTAACAAATCAATTATGGCAAATAAGCTTCTTTCAACCAATTTGGAACGATTTCTAAGACGGATTAACTCTCCGCTTACGCGTTAATAGCGCGAAATATATCGCGCGTTAATTGTCCCACATTGGCCAAAATGACAATCATTAAACCCCGTATTTTTGCGAAAACTGATCACAGGTGAAATATCTTTTCATATTTAAGCTCAGGACAACAATACCTTTTGAATGATATAAAAAATTTCTTTCAAAAATGGCTAGTTAAAAAGTCGAAATTTGTCTGAAGAAAAAAAAAACCCACCCCGAGCACAAATATTCCGTTACTTTCATATCGAAAGTCGGAACAATAATTGTCATATGAATAAAAGGCGGATATTCAACAAACGACCATGTCTAAAAACCGCCATATCTTGAAGCCGAAATTGCATCAAAATAACGTAAATTACATCAGAATTACGTAAAAACTGTATAACAACAATGACAACCTGTCATGTTTGCATAAAAGTATTAATTTGTTGGAAGGGTAATCCTATTTTTGGTTTGCTGGCCCATTGGCTTGTTGGCCTACCACCGAATAGTCTGCAATTTAGTTTGATTTTCATACTACTTTGGCTCGAATTTTTTTAAAACGCTATTTCCGACAATTGACAATTTAAGCGCCAAAATTGTTTTTAACAACGATAAGTGAAGATAGATGACCACGACCATATACTCAACGCCGCAGTCGCGCCAAAGCGGCGGCTCGCGCGCAGCGCGCCCAACGCCGACCTTAAGCCAAGAATTTGAAGTTTCCAATTAATAAGCTTCAAAAACTTGCGAGTTGTCGCTTTCCTTAATTTTTGCAAGTTGTATTTTCTTGAGAGTTGTCGCGGTACCATTTTTTTTTCATGATAAAATTTTCCCTATCACAAATTATTGGATGAACAGTTCGGCTGAAGCCTAATCTCAAACTGTCTGGTCCAAACTTTCCAAAATTGAACAACTTTTGAGCTACGTCGGGGTGGCCTTCTCGTAGAGTAATTTCGGATACGGTAAATCGTCTGTTTGTCACGGTATATATTTTCGACCGGATAGATTTGCGCAACTTCTTAGTGCAATGCCGATCCTAATCTTACCCTTATATTTCTTAGTTTCAATAATTCTAGCGATTTACTGGTTTATTGCGAAGTTAGAGGAGAGAAGAAAGTAACTGGTTTCAATCTTTATTTTTAATTATTTGAACCACTAGGGTTTCAGGCTTACAAGAAGAAATAAAAATTAGTCTAGAATTATGATTGGTTTGTTATGAATATTTTACAGTGAAGTATTTTAAAATACTTAAAGAAATGGTTCAAACTTGTTCCACCCATCCGGGGTAAAAATAATTTTTAAAGTTTTGAGTTTCATCGTACGAGAGTGGTTTTGAGTTCTCGAGAGAATTGTTGAGAGAGTTGCTGAGAAAGACAAACAACTATTGTCTGTGCCTGCCAAATACTTTCAATAATGCGGGATTGTCGTGAACCCAGAGAGATCGAAGTAACGTGCAGAAAAGTTATACACGAAATGAGTCGATTTCATAAATCAGAGCGAGACTATGTGCGAGATAAAAGGTTCACTTTTCTGAGAGAAGTGTCATGTGGGCCTTTGTTCTGTTTCAATAATTTTTTCTTCGCTGTCAACTCCATACTTTATATCCAGAGAAAGTTGAGACTGCGGCAAGCAAAATCAATCGATTGCCATTCCGAAGTCGTCGTAATGTCGTCAATTAATCATCTTCCTTTTTTTGCTTGTGGAATCTACTCTGTGAAGTTTCTTCCATAGTTATTTCTGCATTTTTTTTCTCATTTTAAATTAATAATCAGGTAGTTGTTTTCGCAGAAGCTTTTATTTGATTTTGGTTTATTTAAAGAGTTTCTTACACTGGAACCACTCATAGCAAAAAATGAGTGCGGTATGTCTAAGTGTGGTTTAGCTCGGTTGGTGAGGGCGTCTATAGAGCATGCTCAGGACGTCCTACTGGTGTGCTAGGCGAGTTGTGGGAGTATACTTGAGAGTGGTTTATTGATCAAAGGGTTTTATCGATTACAAATTTTTCTTTTCTTTTTACCTGGTGTTTTCGTCAGTCATATTTTGAGATTTTGTTCACTTGTTTAAAACAACCTATCCGTGATTAGTGTTAACTTGGGGCTTACGAATGTTGCATGTGGTCTTATTTGAAAAATGCTTTTCGTGCTAAAAAAAATTATTATCCAGTTTGATCTGGGTTCAGAACAGTGGAATTTTTCTGTTCATATTATTAGTGTGGAGATAGTGCGGTAGTTTCAATATATTGCGTTGGTTATTTAAGCTTTATTGGAACCGGGTTAAGGGAAAAATTAAGTTTTAAAACCTTACTAGAATTGTTATCAACGGTTAGCGAAGTTTGAAATTCATTTATTTACTACAAGTTGTTATGCGAAAGAATAAAACGTTTTAAACAGTTTATTCAAAAAAAGGTGAACTTTCGGGACAAGTTGGAGAGAAATAAAAAAGTCGCACCTAAACAAATTATTTGACCTGTAATTTGTGATTTAAATTGTAGAACTCAATGCTTTGTTTTACAAATTTTTTGCATAGAAATTTTTAAAACCTGTTTATTTAAATATTTTGAAAATCATATTTCAATATACTGCAATAGATTAGCGCCGCTTAAATAGTTGATAAAAAATAGTTTCTACCTTTTATTTGATTTTCCTATTTTGAATGCTAAAGAAGAAATCTGAAAGAAAATTTATGAAACTTTTCAACATAAAACAGTAAGTAAACCCTTTTAGAATTAGTTAACCTTTTCGAATACTTGATTTAGACTTACGTTGGTTCTGGTAAGAAATTTTAAGCAAAAACTACCGATGGAAGTTGATTCTGAGAGGAGTTCAGCTAGTATGCGAATGACGTTTTTCGTTTATAAAAGTGGCCAAAAAAGCTCAAATACCTGGATGGTTTTTAGGTTTTCGTGAAGGACTGAACATTTCTAATGATTGGGCTTTATGAAGTTATAGATCTTGTGGTTGAAATCTAATAATGGTATTTTTACAGGTTGGATATATTCATGTGGTAAGATCGAGGGTTTAGTTTTGTCGACGGGTTGGTTTCGGTGGCAAGAAACATGCATTTGTTGGACGGGATCATAATGCGGATAGTGCCATGCAAGTTGGTGCCATTAATACAATAAGCACAACTCAAAAAGTTAGGTGATGTGTTTTGAAATCATGGACATGCAGTGGTGATGTGGGCTGTGTGATGGTGAATGTTATATGAAGTGTATTTGAATAAAACGGTAGAAAGTGTGAGTATGTGTTAGCTTAGTTTTTAACATTAGTTCGTATGTACAGTTGAACCTCGTTACTTTGATTTTCTCAAATTAAAGGCTAATTGGAAGTGATCAAAACGGCTGAAGTAAGATTCATAAATTTTGAATTTTTCATTGCTTGGGCAATGATGCGATCTAACTGTTTGTTTGTGCCATGGAGATCAAAGATGTAGTGTGTTCTGGTTTTTAAAAAAATTTCAGTAATTTTCGGTTGACTTTGGAATCAGTGTCAAAATGTGAGTCTTCCTTGTACCTGTGAGCATTGTCATCACTGTGAGCGTTGGGTATTTGGTAAAATTTTTAAGCGATGTGTCTATTTAGTACTTTTGATAATTAGAAAAACTGTCGACATTGGCTGTTTCGGAGGAATCTAAACGCGGAGGGTGGGGGTTGACTAAGTTTCTAGGTGGATTTCTTGGATATTTTTCTTCATGAGCTTACGTTGTGCTCGGGTAGGGTTGTTGCGAATAGATAAAGTGGATATTTCTGAAGTTGAAGAGGATTGGGTCAATTGGTGTATAGTTAGTGATTGATAAGTACTGTGAAATTGTTGTTTTTAGTTGTATAATATCATTTAAGTCGTGTTCAAGTTGGTCGTCAGATAGGGTTTGAGGGTCGTTAATATTGGTAAATAGTGATGAAAGTAATGGGAAAGCGTCGATATACGAGGAATTGGAGTTGGATGACAGGGTGATTACAGGGTCTGAGGGAATAATACGGGTAAAAGTTGATCATGAAAAGTTAGTAGTGGGGCTTAATTCGGAGTCAAAAAATTATTCGGTAGTGTCTACTGCGACATTTTCTTTAAAAATGTTGTGTAAAAAAAGCTGTCTGAATTGAGTCATCAGAGTGCAAGTGGAATAGGAAAAATCGGAACGAAATGCTGCAGAGGGGAGGAGAGAAGTTCATTGATGGAAATGATTGAGGTCTGGCGCTGCGAATTCGACTGGTATGAAAAAGATTGGTTGAGGTATCCAATTTGGCGGCTCATTGTGGGCTAAAACCATTATCGTTATGAGACGAAAATTCAATCTAATTTTGTTCTAAGTGTCTTTCTTCTAAAACTTCTTTGTGTTTCGTTCCAATTGTGTGGTTGGTAAGCAATATGAGAGTGTGGGACAGGTTGTGGTTTATTGTTTTGATGAAGTCGTGATTGTGATCAAAAAGTTTTTCTATAAATTGTGAGTGAAATTATTTGTAATTGATTTTGATTTGAAAAACTGTGGAAGTGTACCAGTGCTGTAGATCTTTTATGTGTGTTCTTTTGTGGCTTGTCAATGTGCTTGGATTTGTTGATAATTTTTTATTCTATTCAATGATTTTTGCATGTAGTAGGATTGTGATTAATGAGCCTTAAAAAAATCCA